CATATAAGTAATGCAGACATCTCAGTGTGTGTGTGTGTATGCGAGTGTTTATGTGCGTGTGTGTGTGGGTGTGTTTGTTGTAAATGCTTCAGCCATTTGGCAAATGTATCGCATTTCGTTTTGTGTGTTTGCACTTTTGCGCATCGCTGAGAATTTTCCAATTTTTGCTGCTAATATTTATTAATCAAGTAATAGCAACACTCAAACACACACACACACTCTCTCTCACACACACACACAGACAGAGAGTGAGAGTGCGCTTATGAATATATGAGTGGGGCACTTGTCTTTTTGTTGTTGATTTTTTTGCACAAAAATTGATTGGAAATTTATAAGCTAAAGTTTTCACAGCATTTTCTTGTTTTATTTTTTGGGCACACCAAAAAACAAAATCAAATAACAAACTTTTTTTTTGGCTTTGTTGCTGCTGATTTTTCTTTTTGTTTTTTTGTTTTGTATTGGCTGCCATTCGCAGCACTTGAAAAGGTCACCACATGTGTGTGTGTGCGTGTGTGTGTGTGTGCGTGTTTGGCTATTGACTTTTCTCTATGTCCAGCCATATGCTGAATTACAAGTGGAAACTTTAACGTGCCCCAAAAAACTTGAACTGGATTTACATAAAAAAATCATTTGATATACTCTGTAAATATATACGTATATATATATATTTATATAGTATATATATTCATATTTGTATAGTTGCCAGAGCAGGCTTTGACGTAACTAAAGCTGCCTGTCAAAGTGAAGCTGAATAAGCAAAAACTAAAACAAATCAATCTACGTTCAAGCCTCGTAACGTGCACATCACAAAAGTAAGTTTCATAAAATATCAAAATACATTTTTATATTGAAATTCAAATAGAAGATGAAGGGAAAAAAATGCATTGAAAAGTTTTGCGTATAATCGAAATTTGTGCTCGTTAGTTCGTTATATTGTAAGCACAGGCTGAGTTATTTGTTATAAATTTACTAATATAAAAGTTTTCTCTCATATATTTGCAGCTCTTTTTTTCCTGAATTCATGCGAAGCCTTTAACTACTGCAAAAATACCCCACGACAAGCTGCAACTATGATGAAGCTATTGGCTCACATTTTAATCTTGATCTGCTGTAAGTACGCTCAGTTTTTATATTGAAATACCAACAACTCTATTGGGCGCAAATATGCCTCATAGATGGCTGCCTGTTGCTGCCACAGCCCGCGCACACTCTGCGCATCAAGCGCTCCGATAGCCTGGCCAATGCCACAAACAGCAACAGCAACAACAACTTGAAAGCCAACCAGGCGAATTCGGTGCTGCCTGCTCTGCCCAAGGCTTTGGGCACTCCCGAGCTTGCTGGTGCCGATAAGCCACAAGCGAAGATTGCGGGTACAGCCGAAGCTGCCGTCGTCACAGCCACAAATGCCACCGGAACCACAGCAGCAGAAGCAGCAGCAGCAGCAGCTGGTGTTGCCACGGCAGCGACTGCTGCAGCAGCAGGGTCTACTGAGCCTGTAATGAAACTGGAGCAGCTGGATGAAGCTCAGTCCAATGAATTGGCCGCCCGCATGCATCGCGGCAAGCGTCGCATGTCGCTCATCGACGAATCGCTGTTGCCCAAGACGTTGCATCATGGTCGCCACCATGCCACAGCCGGTGGTGTTGGTGGTGCCAATGCCGGCGTCGCCAACGCCGCAGCAGCAGCAGCAGCAGCCGCAGCGCCACCCTTTGTGTACTACAACAAGATGGTATCGCCGGATGGCAAACAGGAGCTCAAGGAATTTCAGCTGATGTCGCCCAATATGGTCATTGAGAGTGTGCAGCATGACATGAACTATGGACCTGCCGCCGACATGGGCGGCGGTGTGCTGCTTTTGAATGCCGATAACAATCTGAACGGGCGTATTCGCACCATGGCCAAGCCGAAGCATCATCACAAGCACAAATCTCTGGCATTGCCGCCCTTTCTGTTCCTGCTGCAGCAGATGTTGCAGCCGAACATGAATCTGGATCTGGAGACGATGCCACAGACGCAACGCAATCGTTTGGAGACGCCGCTATATCAGTTCCTCGACAGCGCCGTGGACAATGCGTTGCGCAACAATCACGAGGTCTTCGAGCATCTCGTTTCCGATCATGAGCTCGACCTGAGCGATAAAGATAAAGAAAAGGATAAAGACAGGGATACCCTGGAATTGAAATCGGACAAGCCCAAGGAGGCTATTGAGGTGGCAACAAATCGCAAGGAAGATGAACTAGTTGTTAGCTGTCCCATACACCATGAGCACCATGCCAACAATAATGGCGAAATGGTCGACGACGATGTTGTCCTGGTCAATGAGTGTCATATTGTTTAGGGACAACCACCACACACGACAGTAGGGATTTAGAGTCGAGCATTGAGGGCATTTTTAACGAAGTTAGGCTGCGACCTTCATATTTGGCTTGTTCGATAGCAAAACAAAATTTTTAGGTAGGTTTAAATTCAGTTTCATTTTCAGAGTTGCTTAACCGGTGTTTCTCAAATTGTTTAGAGTTTGTTTTTGGGTTCGAAGTTCTACACAGAATGATAAAAAAAATTGTTGCAAAGTTCTGACTAAAATGTGAAGCGGGCTTAAAATTGTACAAAATAAAAATCAATATCAATTCCTGTATAATTCTTAGTTACCAAGTTGTATCGGTACCTGTTTGTGGTCATGCATTGTCTACACACTTTTCTCGTTTGTACTTGATGTACTGCTCGTTATACTCTACTGCATTCGTTACTCGTTTCTGCCCGTTATACTAATCGGCACTTATTTTTTAATCGTTATACTTATTTGCAATCGTTACTTGTTTGTACTCGTTATGCCTATCTGGACTCGTTACTTGCTTGTGGTCGAAATAATCATCTGCACTCGCTTATACTCGTAGCTAGTCCCGTTTGTTCCTAGTTTCCTCTTGCCTCTATTATTAGCAACAAAATTTAATTAAGTAATAAACGAACTATCAACTATTCAATTCTTACCTAGAAAAATAGTTAGCTAATCAAAGCGTTCGTTTGAGTTTTAATCGATTTTTAATTCATTCGAAATGTTCCTGGAATTCAAGACATTTAATCGGAATAACCTTCAGAATTTCCAATAAAAGTCAATTTGGCGAAAACTGATATGCTGCGTTTGCCAAATAAGGTATGCTGTCAAACAAGCAAATAAATTAGGTACGCACACACAAACAGGAGCTCATGGGCTGTAGTGTGTGCCAGAGGATAAAGTTTTGCCTGGTGTTGGCTGCTAAATGCTAAAAGCTGCTAATTTCTTATACAATAAAACTAATGTAAATTGCCACTTGCCATTCGGCACGCATTAGTATGTGTGTGTGTGTGTGTGTGTGTGCGAGTGTGTGTGGTGTGTGTGTGTGTGTGTACAATACATGGACATTAAATGGAGCACATAATGTGCTGAAAGTCAGAAGAGCATTGAAAGACAAGCCCCAGCCAAACCGAATGCCAAGCGAATGTCATGGGTGCTTTAGCTACAGCATAAATACAAATTTGCTTTACAAATGCACGTCAGCAAGCGTGTATGTGTGTGTGAGTGTGTGAGTGAGTGAGTGTGTGCTTGAGTTGATGTGTGAATGTTGCCTTAAGTGTACATTCAATGTACATAAGTGCATACAAATACACTAGGGTAAGCCATTATACATAAGCTTATATAACAGGGAAACGTGAGCGTGTGTGTGTGTGTGTGTGGGTGTGTGCGTGTGCCGCAAGAGCAGAAAAGTGCAACGCAGCATTCGTAAATTGCGTAGCTGCTCTGGCATTGTCCCTGGGGTGTTAACTGGAGTGTAAATGTGAATGTATGTGCAAGTTTGCGTGGCAACCCATTTCGATTCATGACACACGCCCCCGCAGCCGCCTCCTAATCCTAAACCAACTGTTGGCCATACACGCGTATTGGCCAAGGCATATATATATATATATATACATACAAATCTATATAACTATATGCTCGTACATTTATTTACAATTGTAAATACTAAATGCAGCTGACAGCCAACGCGACACATTGGCTTTGGCAGCAAACGGGAACTACCAAAGTTCCCGCTGGGTTCGCCATTCGGAGGGGAACTTTCAATGCTGCTTAAAGAGCTGCTTTTTCAGCAAGCGAAAGAGTCGGTTGGGTTGGCGGATATAACAAGTGCATTAGCTGGTGAAAATACATGGCTTATGATTTCAATGACAGCCATAAGCATTAGCGGAGATAATGCATAGAGAACTCGTCCATTCAAGAAATCCCAAAATGCGAACTCTTCAAATTGCCACAAACAATTTTTATATAATGTGATTAAATTCGCTTTTGAGTGGGGATGACAACAAAATAATTTGGTACACAACCATAAACAGAAACGCAGACAAACGAATCGACTCTGGCTGTTTTTGTTAATCTTTTTGTTGGCTGCTTTCAAATTTATGGCCCATAATGAGGAAGCGCGCAAGTGTAGGGATGGGCATGGGGCAGGGGTGAATGGCCCCATAAGCAGGCCATCAGTGAAAAGCGTTGCCAGGGCTTCTATTGACATTTGCTTAAGTTGCTGCTGTTCCTGTTACTGTTATGGCTGCCATTTGGCAGCTTGTAATTATGTTTGCCACAAGTTGTTGCCAAAAAGTTATTATCTAGATTTCATAGTCAAAAGCCATGACGGCGGCAGCATCAAATTCAATTGAACTGTTGAGTCAGCACAGCCCGCCAGCCAGCCAGCTCTCTCAACTATTGAAAACATTCCAGAAAGTCAGCGCCACGTTTGTCCTTTAAGTCCATTGAAGCTAATTTGCAATAGCATCGAGCGAAAAGTTTTCGAATTTAACTGCCAAGCATCAACAAAATGGTTTAATAAAGAGCAAAAGATTTGTAAGCTTTAAGAACTCAAAATTTATAAAGTTAAACCAACAAAATGTTGATAATATACATAAAAATTGTTGCAGAATAGTTGTGTAGCATAAATAACGATTTAATCTACGAATGTGCTCAGAAAACTTACCGTTCTGCTGCTTACTGGCACATGAAAAAGTCACTGCTTTGGCAGCGGAAATTGCAGATTCTGAAGTTGCAGTTGCAACAGATGGCGCCAGCCTGCAAAAGTAGTAAAAAATATTTCTTAGTCTCGAAAAAATCGTATATATATTTACATAACACTAAATCAATAACAAATGCTAGCTGCTGTAAAGGAAGTTGCTGAGAAAAAAAAAACCCAATAAATCGCATACATACCCCTCTCGGCTCAACGAGAAGCTATATACACTGCCATAGGGTAAATCGGTATTGCGCTGCAAAGTGCTTACACTCGGTGTCGGCGTGCTTGTTTTTTCATTGCGTTAACGGCTGTCATACACGGCGTATGCGTCATCTGACAGCGGAATTATGCAAATTTTGGCGCATCAACTTCAAACGCAGGCCACGCACACACTCAGGCGACACATGACAGCTGCAAAAAAAAGCAACACCAACAAAAAGCGAATGTTGTTTATTTTGCTTGGCAGCTGACAGCCAAAAAATCAAAAGCATTGCAACGCTGACACTCGGAAATCAATAGCAAATCAACACCAGCAGCTGCAGCTGCAGAGGAAGCAACACCAGCAGCAGCGATTTGGTTGCACATCAAAGTGGCTTTAAATGCGGCAGAGATCCATTTCGATTGTCAACAACAGAGGCGTTGGGGCATGCTACAAATTTATGTTGCACCCGTTCGAGTGTTGTGGCTTTTAATTGAGTCATGCCAGTTGCTCGAGATTGCTGTTGTTCCTCTTGTTGTCCAAGTTAAATTTATTTGCCACGCGTTGCTGCAAAAACCGCTACTGACTGAGGAATGCTACAGAAAAGGGGTTGCTGAGGGGTTGCAACAGTGGGAAAGGGGTGAGGGGTGGGGATCAGCTATATGAATGCATTGTGTTGCGTGCAACTTTTACAAGTGAAAACTTTGCTGTCAGAGATACTTTATGTGCAAATTTTTGGTTGGGCAAGATACACAATGCAACTACAATGGCAACAAGCACACGCACACGCACACGCACACACACACGCAGACACGCATACACGCACACAATTGGTCAGCAGTTTGCTGGTGCTGCGGCTGTCAGTTGCCAAGTCATTTGCATGCACACACAGCACAAATACAAATACCAACGGGGCATGCAACACAAGCAACTACAATAAAAACAAAGAAAGTCAGAGAGAGAGAGAGAGAGAGACTGTAAGAGAGACCTACAAAAATGCCTTCGCTTGCAACTTGAAAGCAACTGCAACAACAAATTTGACCGCCTGTTAGCATATAAATCACATTGTAAAAGATAAATTGAAAGCTGTTGTGGCTACTGCCGTCAACTTCCCCCTTTCCACCATCGTATCCTTACCCTTGCTTCCATCCCATTCCCGTGGTCTTTCCCTGGCTCATGCAGCTAATGCAATTAACATACGCACGAGCAATGCAAATGGCAAATACTACCATGAAAGCTACATTGACAAATTTCGGAGCACATTTTCAAGCTGACCCTTGCACTCCGCAGACAAGTAAATATTAAACACTGCTAAGCAATATAAATTACAGTAAAGCAGCTTAGAGCAGCGCATTCATGAGATACGCGCATCCACAAGATACATTGCTTAAACATAAGAGCGCTAATTGTTGTTAATCTGAATTTGGGAATGAAGGAGTTGAAGCGAACTTTATGCATCTGGAGTTTTTATAATTCAATTAAATATAGTTTACTCTCTCTCTCTCTTTATATATATCTATATCTATCTATTTCTCTCTCTTCCACTATCTAAGTGTTACAACTGTGTCTGCTTATCACATGACTTTTTAGAACAATCAGTTATCAAGTTAAATGTTTTTTATTAATCGCCCTTCTTTGCGATTTTCACATTCAAGTAATAACTACATCATTGTTATTTGTCTATGTCTATTTATTTAAAGACCCTTTTTTCACTCCCTTTCTAAACCAGCGCCTCTCTATGCGAATTTCATATTTCCAAAAGAGGTTTAAAAATGTTATTTACATATTATCTGACATACTTCATTAACTTTCACTTTATCTTTCTGTATAGAGCTCTCTTTCTGTTTTCTATAACAACGTTTGTATATATTTTGCTGTGAAAACATCTTAGAGTTTATCATTTATCAGTTTATCAGAGCTACTGAATGGCCAGCTTCTAATTTGCATGTCCGAAGCAACAGCTCGAAACATAAGACTTTCAATGCTTGCTGTAGTCATTGATTGTCTCCGTCTCTATCGCTCCCGCACTCTCTCTACCTTTCTCCCGTTAACAAGGCCAATCTTCGTTTGCCCCACATTTAAATGCGCATAAAGCCAACTTGTTTTTGTAGTTGAGATAAACAGATTCACTTAGACCCTCTGATGGGTGCTTGTTTATGGGTATTGTTCATTAGATCTGATTATTGTTAATATTTGAACAATGAGTGTTTAGCACTTGGGTGCAACCCCTTTTGACTTTTGTCAGTCGTTGGCATTATCAGATTTAATGAGCTTTTATACACCACTTTCTCTGTCTCCATCTTAATGCTCCTTCCCTCAATTGAATGCCAGGTGGCCGGATTGTCACATGGCCAGTCTATTACTTAGCCAGCTCCATTACAACTTGTAACTTGTCGGCACAGAGACAATAAGCCCGATTAGCAGCCAGTGCACCCACAACTTATGCAATGAAACAAAATATCCGGCTTGTGCTTGCATTTGCACAGTAAAAAAATCATTTTACAGTCGCATGCAATTTTAAGGCAAACAGGAGGATTTACTTTATGTCTTGCATTGTGTTGAAACAGTTAGGAGGTTATTTAAGCTGGAGCTAGCTGAGGAGATCCTTAAATAAAATCTTAGACTTAAGAGCTAGCGGGGGAAATCCTTAAATAACACAGGCTTAGTCGAGCTTTAGCTTTCTTACACTTAAGAGCTTTGACATGCACATACATGGGCTTTTAAGCTGTTCTTATAGATGACTTTAAAATAGTGTTGGAAAGCGAATGAAATGCTTTTAAAGCTATTTTTTTTTAATATTTTATAATCTAAAGTTGCTACGTTTTTTAAGTGTTAAGTGAAGTGCTCAAATGAACTTATTTATACCTTATTTTTGATGCTACCCAACACTATGAATTATAGTTAACATTGTAGTGTTGCGAAGCGTGTTTGAATTAGCTTCCGATCATCTACTTTAAAACTGTAATACAACAACTGCAAAGATGTTAAAGAACACATTGGAGACGAATGACAAGACACAAGGGTGTAGTTTCCTACCTTAAGGGGGGACTTGAGAATAGGGTCTATACCGTTCATAACGAGTCAACCCTGCAGGGCGGAAATCAATTCTACAAATCCAATTTAATTGCATTTCGACACGATCGCACAATAGTGCTCAACGCTCAGGCTGTGACAGACGGACTCGATCTAGATAGAGCTCATCACAGTAAAGTAGAAATCTAGAACAGACAGGACTTACTGACTGCATTGCGAAGAGACTATCGGCTGCATGGGAATATCGAAGTCGTCTCCGCTAGACTCACTGGCGGGGTATCTGGAGCTATCAATCCGTAACACGTTTGATAACGCTGCTGACAGCAATGGCTTCAGTTCCAGGATGGTGTCTGCTGGAGTATTCAGCTATAAGACATTTATGTTTTATTCTAGAAATCATCGTGGCGTGCATTAAAATTCTGTTAACGATTCCTAAAACTTGACTGCTACCTTGGCATGACATCATAAAAAGGTACAAAGAAATACTTTTTGTAATGTTTGTCTACGGTATTCATGACATCTTGTATGTATTTGTACTTAGATTTATCTTTTATCATTTTTTATACAACCATTAAATAACTTTACTTATTGAGAGTTTATTCAAGTGAACCTTTATCTATTGCTGCAAAAATTGAGTGCATTTTAAACTGGCCAACATGTTCGTTCTTCCATCTACTCAACCAGGCACTAACGACGTCTGCTATAGTATATGTACTATATACTGACCAGACTTTATGCTATAAAGAAAATGTAAAAAAAAAGAGTGTAACCTTTCCCAGCCGGCAGCCGTTTAGCCAACCGCACATCAGTTCGGGGCCAGCTGCTGGCGCTGGCCAGAACTTGGCTTCTAACTTTTAGCGAGCGCTAAGTGCATTTTAATTTGTCTTTCATACTTAAGGGCACTGCAACTCGTCGCGGTCCTGGCTGTCGTTGCGGCAAATTACAACAAATTAAATTTGAAGGGCCTGGAACAGGTGATTATCTTCGGTATTTGCCGGAATGCCGCAAGCCAAGTGAGCGCTGCACTTCACTCTGTGGCCAAATGCAATCAAGTTGAAAGTCCATTATGGGGCGGCATAATTTAATATAACACACTTTGCGATTGCACTTCTCTGTTCATATTCACAAATTAATCGATCTTAATTGACAGCTGTCTCAGTTTTAATGGAATATAATTATTATTCCTTGACTCGGAAATTCAATTTGTAAATTTCGTTTACTTTGGCAACTCATAAGACGATTGCATTTTGTAATTGCGCCAATTACGAGCAGCTTGTCCAAAGAAAATGACCAACAGAGGAAAATTGGGAGAGAAACCAGAGAGAGAGAGGGGAGCGAAAAAGTTGAGAATTACAAGTGCATAATTATGAATTTGTTATTGCTCATTAGCTCAATGGCCAGAATGGAAGCAAAGCAAGAGGACAGCTCTCAATTAGACAGTGAGTGCCAAAAATAGACGCACAGTGGAAAGAAGACGCTGCCAAATTTAGTTTTCTTAAATATATTATCTATATTAAGTATAGACCAAATCTAAAAACTCCTATATAACTTGTAAATTTTAGAAATATAAAATTTTATTTACTGCAAAATTATTTAATTAAATATAAATATCCCATATGAAGTTCCATTTATGTCCTGGTTTAAACTCTCACATTTTATTTGATTTATTTAAGGCTAAGCAAACATATTTTTGTGTAAATTTGTAACATAACGAATAAAGAAAGCCACAAATTTGTCAAAAATTTAAACTATTTTGAGTTTTGTGATGTGCTTCTTATTTGTTGTCTGTTGTTGCCTTCTTTTTTGTGGGTGTGGTCGGTAAATGTTATTGTATTATGCATTTTTCATAAGTTTATTGTTAACGCATTTGACTTCAGTTGGCGTTGGCATTGCCATTTTCTCTTTCGTTTTGTTTTCCTTTTTTTTTTGTTGATGTTGTGCTGGCTGCCATTGTTCCATTTTGTTTGAAAAATGCCAAGAATACATAGCCGGAAACGGACATTTGCATATATTGCGGTTGTGCTTTCTGCTAGCTTGGCATTCCAATGTGAATATGCATACCCTATGTGAAGTTGTGTCATGTAGGGTATGATACACTTTCACAAATGAAAGATCTGGATTGTATAGGGTAACATTTAAATGTTTTTCTACATATCCAACACACTTATGCCACAGTAAATCCACAAATCTTTCAGCAGGGTACCTTTTAGTCGAGCACTTTCTTGCCCTTTTATTTGTAGAAGCTTACAGTTGTAGTGCCCGCATTTCCATAGCTTTGATTGTTGTTGCCTTCAGTGGGTGCCCAATAGATTCTAGCTGGCAGATTTGTTGCTACGTTTGCCCAACTGGTCTGGTCAGGACTTCTCTGTTAGCATTTGCCGCCGCAGGCGCGATGCTGGCAAAAACTATTTGAAATGCTGTCTTTCATTTCTTGTCAGCAGTTTTGACGATAGCTTATCGCCAAAGTTGTTGAGCGTTTGTGGCAAGTGGACAACAGATGCAGTTGCAGCTGCTCTGCATAAGCTGCAACAATATTTGGCTATCATCACCAATCCAGCAGAAAAATCAACTGGTTTTTTCTGGCGCGTCCAGTGCCGAATAACTCGTCATGGCAAATGGTATTACAGCTGCCCAAAAAACGCCCAAATGGTCAAATCGTCCAAATAGTGGCCGAGATAAGACGGATTTCGGGTTTTTAGTTGACTCCTCTTCAATGCCAATCGATTGGGCTAACTCCATGCGACCCAAACGAGAGTCCGCAAGGCTCGTGCGCTTTCGGAAAAGGACACTATTTTGATACTCAAAACTTAACCAAAACTTAACCAGAGGAACTCGAAAGCTTATGCCTTTATGAATATAAAAACCGGAAGCAGTACGAGAATTTTTCGAATCCATTTGCGAGTCCATTTGTATGGCTATCCTGATGTCCTTTGGCCAAGTAAGTACACTTATACCTATCAATTAAGTTTAAACTATTTGTCATGGGTTTTTTTTAAGCTAGCCCGCTGGGCATGTGCAGGTCCTATCCCAACAAAGCAGGCAACTGATAAGCGACTGATAACAGCATTCAAGACAAGCGCGCTCTTTACATTCGAACTAAGAGCGCAACTCTACAAAATGAGCGAGAGAGAGCGCGTCGAGCGTGAAGCGAAGGCATCGCAGCTGCGACGCTGGCAGCGCAGGCAACGTCGATTTGCACTAACTTGACTAACGAAATGCGTCTTCGGGCGCAGCACGAGCTAACGACGACGACGACGACGAGGATGAGGACGTCGGCGTCGCTGCTGCTGCTGCTGCTTGCGTATGCGCTGCGGCGTGGTCAGTGCTGTTGCTGCCACTGCGACTGCGACAGCGACGCTTGCTGAAGCAGCGCGTTTTTGGGTGCGCTGGCGACGCTTGCTGCTGATAAACAGTTTTCGTTTATCATCAGTTTGTCGATGGCAACGCGCGCAACTGGACGTTCTTTCGCTTTCACCGAGACATTTCACGTGTGGCCCCAAACAAGAATTTCACTTCATATATTCTGCATGTGTGTGCGTGTCAGACTGTGTGTGTGTGTGTGAGTGTGTGTGCTGTAGGGGCAAACTTTAAACGGTTTTATCAGTGCAGCAAGTGTTGAATGTGCCGCATTGTCAATTGTTCCGGCTACAAATTATTAATGCAAAATTCGCCAATCATAAAAATCAAAAATCTTACAGATACTTGTGTGTTTTTGTGGCATGTACAGCGCGGCAGTTAATAAAGGGACAGCAAAAGAGTCAGTAAAATGTGAGTAGCAAATAGAAATTAAATTAATAAATTGCTTGCAAATATTTTCAATGTAAAAGAAAAGCCACATTTGATTAGCATACAAACTTAGTTAAAGGCAAAAGAATAGAGTTGGTTTAGAAAATAAAGCAAAATTCAGACGAAAATATGTAATAACATAAAGGAAATATAATTAAACAGGAAATCTATAAAATATATTTATTACACTAGCGAATAAAATAAGAAAAATTTCTAACGAAAAACATTTAAGTTCAAGCACACAAAATATATTGTTTTGATATTGAAAAAAAAATATTTTAGGAGATTGTTCAAATAGTACAAATAAATCTTAGAATTTATGCACAATTAATTGAAATTGCATTTGACTGCTTGAAGAAATAGCTGAAATTCGGCCAGCTCGTTAGGATTTCCCAGAAAATTGGTAATTGAAAAACAGTTCATGGAACTGGCAGCTATGAATTTCTAATTGCCAAAATGGCAGAAAATAAATTACACAAAAAAAAATAAATATCAAAGTAAAATATGTAGCGAAAATGTAGCTAACTGAAAGTATGCAAACGTATTTTTTACAAATTCTTTTTGTGCTGAAACAAAACAAGCTCTAAAACGTATTTAGGGCATATAAAGGGAGGGATGGGGGCGGGGGGGAGGAGCGGCTGGCGAGGCGCTGAAAAGTGCAAAGGCAGCAGAAAAGCGCACAAGAGCCGAATGCGACTTGAAAAGTCGAAAATTATGTAAATGCAAAACATTTTTTATGCATGTAAACAATTTTTTGCGCCATTATGCGCCATCAAGTATGCAAAGATATGTTGCTCAGGCCCAGCACAGCCGGCAGAGCCCAGCAGACCGTGCCCCAGTCAGCCAGTCAGTCAGCCAGTCAGTCACCTGACATGCCAGAAATCGTGTACAGCGCGAGATTGTTCAGATTTATGCGCCGCGCTGTCAGCTACTGCCAGCGACTGGCTGCTGGCAAATCAGTTTTGTCATTTGCCTAAAAGTCAAAGTTACACTCATTCTCAGAGTCAGAGTCAGAGTCGGCGTTAGCTCTAGAGTTGGAGCTGGAGCTGTAATCGCATTTGCTTGGGTTGTCACTTTAATTAAATTTAATATGCTACAGCCTTTCAGAGACGTTGTCTTGCCTTCCATTTGGCAGTCAAGCGTGCAATATTTAACTTTCGAGTTTTGCATTCAATTCACGCACACAAAACTTGGCCTCTTGTCTACATGGCTACAACTTTGACAGAGCGACACACATACACACACGCACACATACACACACGCACACACACACACAAGCACACACACACACTCTCTGGCACACATGATGTGAAGGCTGACTTATGCATAGACAAAGTGCCACGTTTTTATTGTAATACGAAAATCCCTGGCATGCTTTTAGTAGACAAAATATGCGCCTTTTCGGCGCTAAATCGCCAACTGCCCCTCCAAGTCCGATATATACACTATGTATATATACGTATATACGTATATCGCTCGCAGCTGGCGACATTTGTTACTTTTATTTACGCACAAGCCAACGAAATTGCGCTGGGCAAACGCTGGCAGCAAATAAGATTAACGCACGCTGCCGCTTGAGCTGAAAGTAGTGAGCGCCATAAAACTTATGCCAGCAGCAGCAGCCCAGATCGACCAGAGACACACAAGCACACACGCACACAATCCCAAAAACCTAAACTCAGATACGCGTATCCCAAAGTCACACATAGACGCACGGAGTTTCGGTGGTGCCGGCGGTGCCGGAGGTGCTACCCATTCATCATCAAGTGGCGTCTCCTGTCACGAGTTGTGCCCCCGCCCAAAACGTGCAACTTTCTCGCATATTATGCTGCTGCAAACAACGTTCTAAAAAACTTTCACCACGCAATATCATTTGCTCGAGCTGAGCATAATGCATGCTCGCCTTAGCTCGCCCTCTCCTTCTGGGTGTTGCTTCAATATAATTTAGGGTTTAAACATTTTTATTGCCTACCTTTGGGCGCACGCCTAGGGCTTGCGGTTTATGGCCTAGACCTGGCCTCCATGTCAGCTGCGTTTTATGTGCAGCCGCTCGTTAAAACATTGCAGTTCACCGACGTGTTGTGGCATTATTCAAAAATTCACACAATTAACGCACACATGCGGACAGCAGTGCGTATACGCAATATTACGCATACGCAGCGTGGGGGGGAGCAAAATACAAGAATTTAAGTTGTGTAGAATTTTGAAGCAACATTTCTTTTTGCATAAGTAGAAGTTATTAAATTGTGCTCCGTATATTTCAATTACGCGCCTTTTTATGCTTTAATCAACTTGATGAATGTGCTGAGGCTGATGAGGCACAGTCTGATGGGCAAATATGTGCTATGTGAAATTTGGGGCTTTTTGGCGAGACGTGCTGTGAAATTTGTGTCTTTGCAAATAGGCAGCGAGTAATATTAAATTAAAGCATTCGCGTGGCTCAAACTTTTAAGCAGCTTAAATATTAATTAATTTGTGTAAAAAGTTTCACAGCCGCCGAGTTTGAATTCCAAATTTAAAGCTACCAAAAATATTGGCCGAAAAATGATATAAACTAGTTGGCATCTGCCAGGCGTAGTCTCGACTTGACTCCATTAACATTTCATTTAAATTCGAGCAACTTTAATGTGGCAGCAGCCACGCAAATAAATTACAATGAAATTTCCGAAAAGGAAAACGAAAGCGAAAACTCGGCGGCCGCCGCAGTAAAGTTGTATATTTGCCTTTTAAAGAAATTATTAAATATTGTATAATAAAGGCAAGAGGGAGCAGGCCATTAACCTGCACAGCCAGCAGCCGAAAATGTTTAGTCGTAAACATATTAAAAGCTACTTTGCATAAACTTGGCCCACGCCACCCAGTCCAAGTCCCATCAAACAGTCCAACCTCTGTATCAAGGACAAATGCCCATTTGCGATTTATTGAAAAAGGGAAAAATGGAAAGAAAAAAAAAATTCAAATGAAAACCGAAGGCAGGGCAAACAGCAAAAAACCATAAAATAAATGCGACGGGTGACGACGAGTGACGGGCAGCTGACATGGCGCGTCCTCTGCACCCACACCCCATGCCAAGGGACTGTGAATGGCCGCCGCGTGGCAGTCTTTATTAGGCAGGCCAAGCCGACTGGTTAAAAGGCTTCATTAAAAACACATTTCGTGCATAAACGTTGACGCCGCCGTCGACTTCATTCGAGTGCAGCAAAATATAAAAAATGCGAGAACGCAAAGAAAAAAAAACGAAGAAAAAGGAAAAAAAAAGAAAAGCAGCTGAAACAAGCAGGAAAATATAGGCAGCAAGCAGCGCAATAAAAACCAACTGTGATATTATTTGCATTTGAAAAGCGCCTGTCAGCGCACGATATAGCTTAGCAGTGCGAGCGGGATAGCACATTAGGCGCTATCTCTTTCCAGGCAACGAACTGGGCCACGCTTGCGATGAGTGCGTGAGCAGCTGACGATAGTCACGAGTTTTGAAAAACAAAATTTTTAACAGCGATAAGCGCAGGCTAAGCTCAAAGAAGAAAACAAATTAATTCGATTGCTTAAAATTTGATTTGGCCAAAAATTTAAATGAGAGAAATACTTTTTATTGCCCTTTTGCACTCTATTAAAAATATATATATACGTAAATTATTATAATGTAAAATATTTAGAAACCGTTTTTTAGTGCGTATTTATTGTGCCTCTTTTATCTTTACATACTCAGTTTTATTTTTTAATTTATTAAATCTCAATATAAACTATTCTGTTTTTTGTAAATCTATAAATTGTGTGCCTTAGTTGAGTATTACAGCAAAATGTTAAGGTTCTGTTGCTTTGCTGTTAATGTCCAAGCTGTAGCTAACACTACAAATGTTATTTATTGTTTATAAACTGTTATCGTTACATGTAAATGTAAATGACTATTCTTTTAAACCAGGGAGATAAGATAAGCTAAGATAAGCTATAGACATAACAGAGCTCAAGAGCTTCATAGAAACATCAAAATTTTTTTATATAGCTTAAGAAAGTTGTTTAATATAATTCTAAAATAATTTTAAAATAAAATTTCCAAGCGACATATTTTAGTATTAAGCGTAGTTAAGACCCCTAGAAATTTCGTAAAAATAACATAGCTTGATAAGCATAAAAATAAAATTCAATTTGGCATGAAGATTACTTTTAATTGAAAATCATTTTCTATGCGCTTCCATTTACCTAAAATGCAAGTTAATCAAACGAGCTCAGAGCTCATAAAAGCTGCTACTTTAAAGCTTGTGCCTTATGATTATTTGTTTGCGTAATTTTCACAAGAGTCGCTTGAAATGGCCCTTAACCTATGACACTGGGATTTCGATATAAGCACGTTTTGTCTATAATCTCATCACCAGTGCACGCACACACACACACACACACACGGACATCGGGCTGCGTCTGTGTGTTCGTTGTAGCTTAGTTTATCAAAGCGTTTGCCTTATTTATATTTTTGGCTGGCGTTTGTGCCGGCAGCTGGCCGGCAAAGCGCGGCTAAGAAAAATATTTACAATGCAGTCGAGCGATAAAATGAAACGGACACGCCCCTGACCAGTGGACACTGTCAATAGAGGCATTAGAGATGAGGCTGGGCATATACTACACAGCCACAGCTTGCCACATTCCTGAGTTAAGAGCACAACACTGTGCGACTGTGTGAGTGTGTGTGAGTGTGTTGGCAGTTAGAACATAATCAAGTTTCAATTTCAAAAACAATTCGGCGCAAAACATTGCCAGTTGCTGTGGCACAAAGAGTGCTCGGAATTTTAAGCATCGTGCGACAAGATCTAAAGCATGGTACAACAAAGGGGGTAGAGCGGTGCACGGGGTGGTAGGGGCTAGGGGTGACGACCTACACGTATGTGACGACGTCGTCAATGTTGTCATGCGAGTCGTAGTCGTAGCGAGGGGCAAAAATTAAATGAAAACGAAAACGAGCTGGCAACACTGAAGAAAAAAGAAGAAAAAGA